CTTTAGTCTTCTTAATTTTAAATGTTTTTCGCGCGACAGCTACACATTTTTTAGTTAATTTCATCAAGTTTTTTTCACCGATATTTTTCTTTATAACGTTTTTACTTGCTTTAAGTGCTGCTTTAAACCCACAACCTCCGCCTATTTTACGTTTTGTTTTCATAGCGGTAGTCACACCCCAAGCCACAGCTTTTTCTTTTAAACTAGAATCTTTTGACTTGAACCTATCCCAGGCTCGCTGCTCTAATATATAATCGGCTTTGTTTCGATCTGCGATAGAGTTGCTATGTTCGTATGCAATATCGTGATCTCTACAAGCAGAGTCCAGAGGGTTTATACCTTTATCACCATGTGCTAATCGTTTTTTTTAAATTTGTACCAGGTCCCCAGTATTGATAACCTAGAATATAAAATTATTATTGTATATATTATAATATTATAAGGTTTATATATATATAATACCAGGTACGTGAAGCTCGATTGGTAATTTGTTTATAAGCGTGTTGATAAGTCCACTGCCCTTATTCTTGTTGCTTCTTCGAGCGAGTGACATTGTGTACTGATTGATTTATCATAGTTGCTCAGTTATTTATATAAAAAATGAAGTTCATCAAACAAGAAATAAAACTAACAGTTGAAAACGTGGACCCGCCTACATCAGATCAAAAACACAGACACGGAGCGCTTCTACCAAATACGATACGCGCGCTTATCGTGGGCCCTTCTGGCTGCGGAAAAACAAATTTAATTTACACATTATTAACCAATATAAACGGAATACGATTTCAAAACGTATACATATATTCGAAAACATTGGATCAGCCTAAATATAAAATGCTTAGCGATATATTATCAGACATTGATGGAATACAATTATTCACGTTCTACGAAAATGAAAAAGTTATAGCACCTGAAGAAGCTTTGCCAAACTCTGTATTTATTTTTGACGATATTATTTCTGAAAACCAAAATATTGCAAGAACTTATTTTTCCAGAGCTAGACATAATTTAATAGACGTTTGCTACCTGGCTCAGAGTTATTCAAAAGTGCCAAAACAACTTTTGCGTGATAACGCTAATTTTATTGTGTTATTTAAACAAGACGAAACTAATTTAAAGCATGTATACAATGAGCATTGCTCTGGTGATATGTCATATTCAGAGTTTAAATACTTTAGTACATCGTGTTGGAGTCGGGGGAGATTCGAGTTTATCGTAATAAACAAAGACTGTGAACGTGACAATGGTCGATATCGCCTCGGATTTGACACATTCGTCGTTATATAAAGTGTTGTTTTTATGAAAACACCACATTCACAGACATGGCTTCTAACGGTGAGGTACTCGGAGAATTGATTAAAGCCAAAGAAAATATTAAACGCAAGTATGAAGCATTAAAACACGGAAAAGCTGATATTCACTCAATAGTATCAGAAACATTAAGTCCGATTATCGAACCATTAAACGAAATAAAACATTTAAATCCTGCAACATTTCAAAACCCACCCACGGAACTTGGAAAAGACTCTCAAGATTCTCAATATTTTGAAATAAACAATACAGACGATTCGTCAGATTTTAAAATAAACGACTGGTTTAAGTCTTACGATATAGACAAAACGTATGGGCCAAAAATACGATCAAACGGAAGTGTATATTTGGGGAAAAAAGAAATTAATCTTGTCGGGAATAAATTGATTATTGAAGATACTTCATACCCGTTAACACAAGGGCTTGGTAATTTAGTGTTTTCAAAATCTCCAAAATTCTACACCAAACATGATTTAGAATCATATAAATCTATATTAATTCAAACATCAGCGCATCTAAAAACAGATGGAAAAGAAATTAAAAAAGGTGGAAATAAATATTATGATATAATCCAAAATTTATTTCTAGCGGGTAGAGGTCTATCTTTGAAATTACAAAAACATAGTTTAGTTTACTGGAACGATCCTAACGAACTAGTCGATAGATTGCGGTTACTATTAGCGTCAAAAGCGGCTGGTAATACAGGTGTTTCGAACGAAATAATATCCATTTTTGAAGAACTGCAAGAAGCGGGTATAATAAAACGTATTCCAAATGTCTAAACGCGAAATTGCGAACGAACTACACAAACCTGTTAGAAAAAATTATACAAGACGTAGAGTTAATGTTTATGGCAAAAACGATCTGTGGCAGGCCGACTTGGTCGAAATGATACCATATTCAAAACAAAACAAGGGGTACAAGTATATTTTGTGCGTCATAGACTGTTTTACAAAGTTTGCTTGGGCCATAGAATTAAAATCTAAAACTGCTATAGAAGTTTCAAATGCAATGTCTAAAATACTGCTCACACGCACACCAAAACTATTACAGCTCGATAATGGTAAAGAATTTTACAATGCTACATTCGACGCATTGATGAAAAAGCATAACATACACAAATATTCAACGTTTAGCATCATGAAAGCATGCATTATCGAACGTTTCAACCGCACATTGAAAGAAAAAATGTTTAGAGAGTTTACGGCACGCGGTTCACACGAATGGATATCAATTTTACCTTCATTGATTAACGAGTACAACAACTCAAAACATAGGACAATAGGTATGACACCAGTGCAAGCTGATGCAGATCCGGCGGCTGTCGTAATTAAACAACGAAAAATTATTAATGGAACAATCAAATTTAACGTTGGTGATAACGTTCGTATAAGCACTTATAAAAGTGTATTTACAAAAGGATATTTACCTAGCTGGTCTACAGAAATATTCAAAATTGTTAAAATTAACGAAACATTACCTACTACTTATCAGCTACAAGATTATACTGGAAAACCGATTGCTGGTTGTTTTTATTCAGAGGAAATATTGAAAACAAACTATCCGAATGACTATTTAGTGGAGAAAATTATCCGTAAGAAGGGGGAGCAAATTTTTGTCAAATGGCTAGGGTTTGATAATACACACAATAGTTGGATAAATGTACGTGACATTAGAAAATAGTGTTAGTCTAGCTACAGACATGAACGTGTTCGGTAGTTCTCAGTCTAGTGAAACTAATAATTTTTTAGTAAATCTCGAACAAATTGTTAAATCGTATTCGAATAAACTCGATAAAATTGAGCATTTACTCGAAGAAAACCATAAATCCATACAAATTCAAGAGGAACAAACAGAAAAGTTAGAATTAACGTGCATAGAGATTACAGAGCATATGACAAGAGGCGAAGTATCATTATATAATATATCAAAGAAACTATAGGCGAGATTAAAAAAATAATACCATCTATACTGAGCCGTCTTAACACTATAGAAACTTATTATAAAGACAAGCCATAATGTCTTCAGCCATATTGGACATGCAATGCATACTCGGCGTCAACAATAAATATATGATTAAAGAAATGTCTATAGTAGACACGTTTACATGGGCGACCCAACACTGGATTTTTAAACATTCAAAATCCATAGAGGATAACAAAAGTCGTAAAACAAACAAGTGGCTGGAACGTAATTATCATCAACTAGCTATAGAATTTGGTGATGTCGAGTACGAAGAAGTAGGTAAAATATTGAATTCATTAAAATTCAGTTGCATCTACGTCAAAGGTGAACAGAAAAAACAAGTTCTTATGGAGCATATACCACACGTTGCACTCATCAACATTGAAGACTTAGGCTGCCCTCGTTTGGATCAAATATGTGATGACGAAACTCTACCTTGCTGTATTTTTCATATGGAATTTAATCCTAAGCAATGTACATTTTATAAAGTTTTTGCTATAAGAAAATGGTTTATAAATAATTCTTAAAGTTTTTTGTATACATTTTATTTAATAAATATAATAATATTATATTTTAACATTGTTTTTTATTTATATGCTAACATATATACATACATTTATATATGTTACCATTTACAAGGTTTTTTAATTAAATATATTGACTTCCATCTACCTGAAACAGAAAAACATGAACATTTATACAAAAAAAAAAAAAATATTATAAGAAAACATTGTAAACTAACTTACATATCTAGCAAAAGCATACGGTATATTTACAGAGTATTTACAAATTATACAATATAAAAATTATACATTTACATGGATATTTATAAAGGTGTTAATACTACAAATTTATACACTAATCTAATACTCGTATTTTACAAAAATATTTACAAATTACACAATAATTTATTAACAAGTATTTACATTATATAACAATTAATAGGATAATATTTACAGAGTATTTACAAATTATACAATATAAAAATTATACATTTACATGGATATTTACAAAGTATACATTATAAAGGTGTTAATACTACAAATTTATACACTAATCTAATATTTTACAAATTACACAATAATTTATTATCAAGTATTTACATTATATAACAATTATTAGGATAATATTTACAAGTTATTTACATTAATCAATATAATATAACAGTTAATAGAGTAATATTTACAATAATCAATATATATATATAACAAAAAAAAAATGTACAGTATATAAACTTAGGTTAGGCACTGTAGAAGGTCTCTCATTAAGCCTTTCTCTTCCTCGTTCCAGTTCCACCCTTCTTTCCCCCCCCATAAAATCTAATTCCGGCCAATCATCCTCTGGTTCATCTTCCCTGTAAAATTAAGAGAAAATGTTAGTAAAATAATTTAAATATATATTTTGTAATAACTTACTCTATACTATAATGTCCATGGGCCAGTGTGTGTACTTCATCTTGCAGCACCAACCTCTTATCATCATAGCTGTTATATGCTAATTTTTTCGTCTTAATCGTCATGAGTTGATGTTTGAATGACCGTATTGACACGTTATCCTTATACGCCTCCACGCCAGCTTCTCCAAATAAACATTTCTTGTGGTCTTCCAATGTCATGTGGTTCTTAACCACATGCTGCCTTATCCCCTTTGCTTTAATTTTTTCACCACCAACTTTATCCTTGTCGTCCTTATCTCTCACCGCATCCTCTTCTCCTGCATATACATTAAAAGCGTAACTTTGCCCTCAATGCACAAAATTCGGGTATTATATCAGCATCTACTTCATCTGAGAAGTACCCAGGTTCCTTCTTTCTAACTGCAACATAACATGGATGATCACTGGGTAGGTTAGCTGTATCCATTCGATCCAACAAGCTGTGATTAGCTGCCAAGTCTTCATAAAAATCAGTAGTTTTAATATGATATATCAACGAATCTAAAAATAAAAATAAATATAATATATGAAAATTAGATAAGTTTTAATATATTTACCTGTATCAGTGTACATTAGCTTAATTTTATCCCTATAGTGCTTCTGCATAACATTGTAGTGATAGTCATACATCAACGTCTTACTGATATCCAGCACTGAAAATCCTATAGAAAATAAATGTATTATATAATTTAAAAGTATATTTAGCAATATAATTTAAAAGTATATTTACCAATATATATAGGTTTGTCAAATTTAATTATCTTATTCTCCAACGCTACTGCATTGAGGTTTTCATTGTAATTAGTGCAGTGTTTAAAAGTAGTTTTATTAATACATTTCTGTAACCTCCTCTCACAGGATACCAACTCTATTTTCAGCTGTTTTCGTTTCGATTCCATAGTTTTTCCTGCACAATAGTAAATTTTTAAAAAGTTTTAAAAGTTTTAAAAATTTAAAAGTAACCTACCAAATACAGCGTTATTCATAAATTTAAAGAAGTCTTTCTCAAATGCGTTCCTAGCCTTTTTCCTCATTTCGGTGTTTAAATCTATATATTTAGCCAACCAATCTGACTGGTTAAACTGTATCACTCTATGTACCTATACAAAATAAGAGAAATGTTAAAAATCTGTTTAAAATCATATAAAATACAAATATTTACTTTTTCAACTATCAAACCATTCTTAATGGCCTGCTGTAGGTTCCTATAATGTACGATGTAATTCTCCTTTTTCTCAAATGTCGCCATCAACTTCCTAACCTTCGAGCCTCGAGGCACGCTGTTTTGCGGCAGGAAAGGCAGGTCGTTATGTCCGTTATGCAAGTGTCTTGGATACGACACGTCCACCTCATACACTCGTCCTATGGGTGAAGTGTCGTCTAAATCGTTCAACCCATTCAATGTAGGTTCAACTCAGTTGAACCCACCGTACGGCATGTACTGAGAAATTGCCCACCCGTACAAGTTGTTACCTATAAAATTTAAAAAATATTATTAAGTAAGAAAAATATTAAAAAGTTTTGAAAAAAATATACTCACAGTCCTGATATATGATCCACGATTTCTCCTTCGTTTCGTCATACCCCGGAGTCTTTACATTGTTCGCCGTCGCATATCGCTTGCTCGCCTGCACCAATCCTCCACGTATACCTATAACAAATATATAAGATTATTAAATACACATTTAAAAAATAATATACTGACCATTTTCGAACATCAACAACATGTCGTAATCATGCAATAACTGGAGCTTTTGCCCCGTGAACTTAAGCATCGCATCGAAACTTAAGCCTGGGGCGGTGAAATAATGGGCGGCGTCCAGGTTATACGTCTTCATACACAAGTCGCGGAAGTTCTCAAAAACATCCGCCAGCAGTAACACGTCAATTTTCAGGTACAGGTCGGAATAATCACCGAGCGTCCTACAGTTAAAATGACTCCATACCTGTAACACACAACAATTTTCAAATATATATCTAAATACGTGCGTAGTGTATACATACCTCCTTAGCATGGTCAAATTCGCTCTCCTTAATCCCGGTCTCTGTTAACGTACTGTAAAAGCTCCTCTTACTCGGTAACCTAGTATCCTCTAGCCGCTCCCAACTATCCGTGTACTCGTACGGGTACACCCCCTTACGAGCCACGAGCGGCATATCTCCGGTGACAAAATGTTTGGCTGTCTCACGGAATTTCTCATGTTCGGGTGTAAGCAAATTTTCAGCCAGGGACGACAGACTCGACGCCATAAACCGAAACGTGTCGATAAACCGAACAGTGAAGGTACTACTTATATATTTCGAAAAAGATATATATTTCTCTTCACTGTTCGGTATAACGTTGATAGTCTTAGTATCATACCCAAGTTCAGGGATTATGAAGTGCGAGTCGTAGTTTGTGAGATTATGAAAAAAGACAGGTACAAATTTAGGCTGTTGCAACTCTAAGTTACACCTAGAGCACAAGGTCTGCCTAAATTTGCCTGTCAAATGATCATGATCCCTAACCTTATCGCCCCCGACTAATATACATTTGCATAAATTACACTTAATACACTCTTGATGTGTTTTTTCTTCACCCTCAGCCATTTTTAACGGAATATTCGTCTTCGTGAGATTTTCAATTTTCTGGGCCACCTCAACTATCGCCTCCACAAAATGTCTCGCTACGTCCGTCCTGTCTTCGCTGCCTCTGTAGATTACCATCCCCGCCGGTATCTGGTGTTGAAGCAATAACTCTGCCGGTACGTCATCGCTCGCTTTCACCAAAAACCCATAACTCATAGCTTCGTGTTTCTGAGTAATCGTGGTACTACCCCCTCTTGCCTCCTCCGTCTTCGTCAAGATCGCCTCAAAATCCGCGTAAATGACAAACGGGTGCCTAACCGTGTTTTTCCACGCCTTGAACTCAGCACAATCACCCTCCTTAGGCATCTCTGGTAAAATTGGTTTGTGCGCGCCGCAAATCAATTTGTGTTGGTCCAGGGCCTCCTGCCCACTCAACTTGAATTTATGACGTCTGTCGTCGAAACTCGTAAAACATCTCTTACAGAACACGACACTCCCAGTGTGTCTGGTTTTCTGAGCGCGGACCAGCCTGGAAAAATTCGATATATACACGTAGTGAGAGTTGTCGCCGTCCGTCACCAACAACAGATCAAAGTGGTTGGTTTTCTCCTCATCAACGACACGTAGCGGGTACACCTCGTACGTCGGATATTTACGCGGTGGCTGGAACTTTTTGTCCAACCCATACACATTCACAGTGACGTTCGGATTATTTTTTTCAAATTTAGAAATATCCGATAGTGGTGTTGGAAACGAAATATCATCAAAATTATATTTTGCTTCGTGTTGTGTATAGTTTTTACCGACACAATATTTATATTTATCCGATAAATTATCGGCCACATGCCTCGCAAGAATCGCCCACTTGAAACATTGCTGGTCATTGTTTTGTGGGTTGATGGTGCCCCGTTTCCTGTCGATGTATGCTGGTAATTCAATATATGACGACCCAGTCATTGGTGTGTAGTTATATATTCCCAATAATAAGCCGTCTATGGCTTCCAAAGTAAAGCCACTACCGCGAGAAACATAAGCGTCTTCCTCAGCTAATAATTTCACGAACGCTTGTTCTACTATTGAGTCGATATCACTATCCGGATAAATTTCGGTTGCTGTTGTTTTAAACGCTCGGTTCTCCGACGAGTTTGGTACGTTGACCCGGTTATAGGTCGCCTCGAGCTTAAGGTTAAATTTAATCGCCCCTTGCTGAACGCGTGTTTTCAATATTTTATTTAGCTCGGGTTCGAGCGATCGAAGAAACTCGGTATAAATCATTGTATTATAAACATTTTTGGCATAGTACCATACAATTTTTCTATTTGCTGAGGACGAAATCTCAACGAAACCGAGGGACTGTACTAGGCTCATGCGCGCTTTTTTCGCCCTAGCAGCCGACGTGGTGTTGGCAGAGGAAACCCGTTTCCCGTTAACGTTGGTAGTGAAAGAATCTTTAAAAAAAAAAACCTAATATTAATATCTAATGAAAATAATAAATTGACTAATCTATTAAAAATCTAATTAACCCCACGACTGATAAATAAAATCTAATGAAACAGCTATTTATCTTTTTAACTTGTGACATTTACAAATAATTTAATGTCACGTATTTCAAAAATCTTTTTTAAATCTTACAATAATAATTTTCAAAAAAAAAAATAATCTACGGAGGAAAAATCAGCAGGTCTTTTAAAAATCTAATTAATTCTTATAAATAAAACTAACCTGTATTCTCAAATTCGTCCATTGCCTTCATACAAATAATATCGTCGTCGGATGCCGCATTCGATCCACCGGCCGGAACATCTGGGACAAATATTCGAGGAGCAATCTGAATATGACCTTGTGGAGTAGGCCGGGTAACACTTTGCTGTGCTGGTTGACGTTGAGCCGGAACGTTCACGACACCTCGATCATTTTCAGTCATTTCAGCGAGCATATTATCATACCCATCGTTAAAATATTCATCCAGTTCTTTATTATCGACATTTTGAACTTGATATGATGATGAACCTTCCGATACAACATTATTCGGTGCGATTTCACCTAGTTGAGGTCTGACACGTGCTACAGCTTAAAAAATAAATATTGAATTAAATATTAAATAAAGCTAACTTAACCTAACAGCTCATAAAATATACATACCATGCACATTTTTCATATGCCTATTGAGATGTGTCTTGTAGCCGAATGTCGACGCGCAAATAGTACAAGAAAAACGAACACCATTGTGATTTTTTTGGTGAGCAGTCAAATTACCCTTACGCGTAAACGTGAATGGACACTGCTCGCATTTAAACATTTTTTCAAATTTTATAAGGTAGCAAAACAAAAATAAATAAACACTGAGTTCCGTGTAAATAATGTTGAACAGTAAAATAAAAACTTGCTAACAATATTTTAATGGCTTAGTTCGCTGACGAAAAATATACGTGTACGACGGTTTAAGACTGTAGACGTACTAAACGGATGTAGTAGGATCTTTCAGGACATTTTTGAAAATTATAAAATTTTACAGTACGCATGCGTACGAAAGGTGCGGGTGAAGTCTCTAGAAGTTTAACAGGCCGGGGTAATTTTAGTGCGCATGCGTCAGTGATAGAGGATGTATACTAATAGTCGGTGGTCATCTGAACGATGCGCGTGCGTACGAAAGGTGCGGGGGTCACCTGGGGTGAAGTCTCTAGAAGTTTAACAGGTGAGGGAAATTTTAGTGCGCATGCGTCAGTGATAGAGGATGTATACTAATAGCCGGTGGTCATCTGAACGATGCGCGTGCGTACGAAAGGTGCGGGGGTCACCTGGGGTGAAGTCTCTAGAAGTTTAACAGGTGAGGGAAATTTTAGTGCGCATGCGTCAGTGATAGGGGATGTATACTAATAGCCGGTGGTCATCTGAACGAATATGTATTATCCCCCTAGCTTGCAGGCTTTAGTTGAATTATGGAAAGAGAAAGTCGTCGCAGATTTTGGTGGAATTATACGAATAATAGGCGCCATATTGTCGCGACGAATAATAGGCGCCATATTGTCGCGACGGCTGATATATAGTTAGATGTGTATTATTCCTTAGGTAGTAGGTTTTCGTTGAATTATGGAAAGGGAAGTCGTCGCAAATTTTGGCTTATACGAATAAAAGGCACCATATGTCGCGACGACGGTTATATAGTTAGTTGTGATTTTCTTGTTATAGGTACTTTTTGTGCCTTTCGTCAGCTCAGTATACTCTTAGTCTTATAAATATAAATACGACTTTTATTTACGTGTAATATTTATTATTTTGTTCGTGATTATTGCATCTCTCGCCTGGAAGACGTAAGTATTTTTTTTTTTTTTTTTCACATTATTCAAGACTTACGTATAAATCGATTTTTAGATGTCTAAAGATTCATCGTCTAGTTTGTCGTGGTTTAACGGGGATAGCTACAATAGGGATCTTGTAGCGACTCCTCCAGAAGATACACCGCCTTTTTTTTATATGTCACCAGAGAGGACATTTGTATTAGTAAGTATATATTTTTTAATATTATTATATTTAAATTAAATTATTTATAAAATGTGTATAATCTGGTTTTAGCGGGTTAATAGACCGCCATCAAGGCCCGTCACCCCAAGGACCGTCACCCCAAGGCCCATTGCTCCAGCGTTAGATGAAAGTCTACAAGATGCGCAAAGACCGTGGAGTCTACAAGGTGCGCAAACACCATGGTGGTTTAGCCCGCAACTATTACCCGTTAGCCCACTCCCGCAGCGTCGCCCCATCGGATATTCAGATATGGTAAGTGTTAAATAAAAATTATGTCTTAGACTCAATATAATATAATATAATATAATATAAAATAAACAATAATTTTTAATTTAGACTCAAGATAGCGGTTTCTTTACCGAACAACAGTTGCATAGTTCATTATCACAAGTTAGACAACCTTCTACACCTACAACACCGGGGGTATACGCATTGAACCTGATACAGAACATGGAGTTTTCACCATCACCGCTGCGACAATCTCAAATGGACGAATGGCTTCGTTCGTTTTCATCAATACAGTCTTCACCAGATATATTGCCGCTGGATGTTGTAGGCGGCGTGGTATTTTCAAATTCATCGCGGCAATCTGAGATAAATGAATGGTTCCAATCTTTATCGCCCATCTCCCCTAGTGTGCTAAACATTATAGTACGGCCCCAGGTACTCCCGGAATTTGACGTACTAATTTTCGGGAGGATATCAAATACCACTCAACCCAGCCAAAATGCTACTGATTGGGCTGAGGATGGGTATAATGATATCCTGGAACTACACATGATGGCACATGAAGCAGTATGGAGCGATGACGAAGTTTTAAATATGGATACTAACGAAGGTAAATTACAGAAAAACTTATTTTTTAAATATAATTTATCTTTTGTTTTATATAATATTATTATTTTCAATAAACCTAATATTATTATTTTATATTTTGTTTTTTAGACGAAGAATTGTATCGACATATGGACGAATACGAGGGGAAAAACTAATTTTGCTTTATATAATAATATGTTTAGACTGTATATTTCTTGTAAAAAATATTGTGTATAATTATGTTTAGATTGTTTATTTCTTGTAAAAAATATTGTGTATAATGAATGAATGAATGTATATTTCTTGTAAAAAAAAAAATATAATTTTTATTTTATATAATGAATGTATATTTCTTGTAAAAAATATTATGTATAATGAATGAATGTATATTTCTTGTAAAAAAAATATAATTTTTATTTTATATAATGAATGTATATTTCTTGTAAAAGGTGATATTATTATGGTTAAACCCAATGGGGGAATTTTACAGTGCGCATGCGTACGAAAGGTGCGGGTGTAGTCTCTAGAAGTTTAACAGGTGAGGGAAATTTTAGTGCGCATGCGTCAGTGATAGGGGATGTATACTAATAGCCGGTGGTCATCTGAACGATGCGCATGCGTACGAAAGGTGCGGCGGCCGATGATGGCAGGGAAAAGGGTGGCGGGGAAAATATACATGTCGCACACGTGAGCAATGTGCCGCCGGTGGTCAAAAATATAAGTCGCGCACGTACGCGAAGTGCGGCGGCCAATGGTCATAAGGATCAGAAGGGTCAGAAGGCCAGAAGGTCAGAAGGGTCAGCGGTCTGAACATACCAAATCATACTACTTAATTAAATATTAACTTTTTTAATATTGTAGTGATCCCTCACTAACGCTTATATTTTTGAGTTCAAAGACGTTGACGGTTGAATAGGAGAAAAGGTTGCAGAGACAAGTTACACAAGTTAGGTATAAGTAGTTTTATTAACGTTTTTAAAAAGTAAATGATCACAATTAAGTGTAATATAAATTTGAGGACAGAGCGAAAAGCATCTGCCCGAGAAGTTAGTTACGTACAGTATGTACGTAGTGCAAACTCTAAACTAATTCTAATTTTGCAATAGACATCATCTTATATTTATATGAAAACTATTCGGATATAAACGTACACGGTAGAGTCTAGGAGATGGATATTTGAAAGGAGCCTGGAGCTAGATGTTGTTATTACCAAAAGACCCGAGTGGCTTATTGGCAATTTGAATAGGTTTGTTTTCGCATTATTTTGGCAAAGCGAAGATCGAGTGAATTATGGTTTTGTTTTCGCATTATTTTGATAAAGCGAAGATCCGTAAATTAATTGTTAATTCATTTTTTAATTAAACTGCCAAACCCAAGGTATTGAAAAAGATTAATAGTATTGTTGTTGTCCAGCGTGCCGCATCATGAGAAATGTAATTAAAATATTGAATATAGAAAAGCGACTCCGTCGGTTTACTACAATATTATAGGTACCATATCAAAACCCTGATTCAACATGGAAAGGAAACTTACCTGATCCACCTACTCACATTTTATCTCCCTATAAATATTTTAAACAGTATTTTGATGATGATATTATTCAGAATTTATGTGAACAAACCAATATTTATTCTGTACAGAAGTCAGGAAAATGCATATTATCTACATCATCAACTGAGATTGAACAATTTATTGGAATTCAAATGTATGTATTTATTTCTCACTTATAAGTTAATATAAGTTATTCTGTTTTTTTTTTAAATATCATGTTTTGTTTTAGGTACATGGGTATTGTCAAAATGCCATCTTATAGAATGTTTTGGAATAATCAGACCCGCTTTTCTACAGTTTCTGATGTAATGGCAAGAAACAGATTTGACAACATAAGGTCTTACTTTCACGTTAATGATAATACTCAGATGTTACCCAGAGAACATAGCCAACATGACAAATTGTTCAAAATCAGACCTTTTTTGAATGCTATAAGGGATAACATGAAAAAAGTTCATGTAAATGAGTTTATAGCTGTTAACGAAATAATTATTCCTTTCAAAGGTCGCTCAACTATAAAGCAGTACAATAAAAATAAGCCTCATAAATGGGGAATCAAAATGTTTGCACTGGCTTCATCAAATGGACTAGTGCATGATTTTGAAATATATGTTGGCAAAGGTACTTTACTTCCATCGAATCATGGCCTAAGTATAAGTGGAGATGTTGTCATGCGACTTATTGAATGTGTTCCAAAGCATGAAAACTATAAGGTAATATTTGTACTTCATAACATGATTGTTAAAATTTTATAAGTTAACATAAATATACAATCATTTTTGTTTTAGGTATCTATGGACAATTGGTTTAATTCTTACAACTTGCAATGCAAGTTAAAATTTGTTGGAGTTCAAAGTATCGGGACTGTACGTTCTAATCGTATTGCTGGTTGTGTACTAGACAATTATAAGCAACTGAAATCTGGAGAACGTGGCAAGTTTGATAGTAGAGTGGACACAAATAACAATATTGTAGTAACTAAGTGGCATGATAATAAAGTTGTGCATGTAATTTCAAATTACATAGGAACCACTACCTGTGGAGAATGTCAAAAGATGGTCTGTTGCTGAAAAAAAAAAGTTGACGTCCCTAGGCCAGGGTAGGGATGGGTCGTTCGCGATCGATTCGTTCAATTTGAACGAATCAGTTCAGTGAACGAATTGATTCAGATTCGGAAAGTTAGAACGATTCGTTCGCAAAATTAATTTCGTTCGTAACTTCACTTGAATCGGGACCGACTACGAATCATCAATACTCTAATATTATTACCAATGAATATGAATATAATGAATATATGATTCGTTATTTCGTTCACTGATTCAAGTCTAGTTCAGTCTCAAAGCAGCCGGCTGCACTGTTGTAGCTGTTCCCCGGCCAATCCATTAAACAATTACCTACCTTGTGGTACCCACTATCAGTTAATATGACTGTGATGATAACTGATAAAATTTAGATAGTACTATCCTAAATCATAATAATATAGTAATAATATGGATAGAGCCGTTAATTGCCAAATTGCCAAACAATGTTCAACAATATTAACATGCGTCTCAGAGTCTCAGACCACGCCACCACGGTGATTATTTTACTTATAAGAATTGTGTGCTTGTGACTAGTGTTTTGTATTTGTTACTGTGTTTGTAAAAATGATCTGTGTTAAATCTGTGGAGTAAATTGTATTAATTGTAAGGTAAGATATGTAATGAATTTTTTAACTACACAATGTTATCATTATGTTAGGTATTGTATGAAAAGAATATAATATTAAACAAATTGTCATAACAAAATAAAACTAAAAATGTAACTGTTTATTATATACTTAACAAAACAAATATGCGTATGCAATACTATGCATATAATATAAATACATTATCTTGTATTATATTATTCTTTTTTATACATTTTAATTATTTACTTACTATAATAGCGCATAGTATATTTACATGTTTGATTGTATAAATATAATTTTTTCTACTTTTTCAGTTGTCAGTCTGGTTCTTTTGCTATTAAGAATCATACCAGCTTTTGAAAAAACTCGTTCACTAGGAACGGATGTTGCTGGTACACAAAGTCGTCTTTTAACCATTTCAAACAATCTGGGGTATAAAAGCTTTCTCTCAGACCACCACTTCAAAGGATCCAGTTGACGATTTAAGAGATTTTCACTCAAATATTTGTCCAACTCTACAATGCTTGCCACAGATGGATTATTTTGACCAAGAACCGAACTGACTTGTTCATCAAACTGTTTCCAAATACTTGTCGAACTTTGTACAGTAGAAGTAGTTGGAAGTTCTTCGATAGGTTCGTTTGATATATTTTGAACACTTATTTCCTGTAGTTTCCTTCCCAAGCTTACTTTACACGTTTCAAATTTGTTATTACTGGAAAATCCATACTTTTTAAAACGTGGGTCGAGTAAAATTGCTTGGGATTGAACGTCGTTATCTTCTATGTTTTTGAAGTATTTATTCAATGTTGCCTTTATTTCTGCAGCCATTGAAATTATGTCACGGTGCATGTTGATGTCAAAAATAAATTTACGCAAATGCTCCAGTAAAAACAAATAAAATAAATTTTGTTTTGAGATGGTAACAACATTTTCAGCACTCATCTCAGTTGTTAATTCATCAAAAATTTTCAGAAACTCACACGCAGTAGATACCATTTGCCATTCCTCCTCAGTAATGCAATTTAAATCATTGTTGGTTATGGCTAATGTTGACAACACGGGTTCTTTCAACTTGAGTATCCTTTCCATCATGTGATATGCTGAATTCCAACGTGTTTTGCACTCCTGAATCAGCTTAAGATCTGGTAATCCCATTTGTTTTTGATGGTTCTGTAATTTATGCAGAGCTCCAGAACTTTGCTTGAAAAATTCAACTACATTTTTTATTTTAGTCATGACAGTTTTCAAATGTGTCAGACCACGCTGAATGCCGATATTAAGGACATGAGCAAAGCATGGGACATGTCTCCAATTATTTTTCTTTACAGCACCAACTATATTTGCAGCATTATCTGTGACAACTGCTGATATTTTATGTTCAATGTTCCATGCTTTAACAGTAGCCATCAAAAACTTGGCAAGTTCAACTGACGTACACTGCTCATTATAGTTGATACAACCAATTAGTCTAGAACACAATTTAGTCTCAGAATTTAAAAAATGGACGGTTAAGGCTATATAATGTTGGTTGTTGATGGATGTCCAACCATCTGTGGTCAAAGATAAGGCAGTCACATCGTGTAGGTCAGTTTTAACTTTATCAAGAACACTTTCGTACATTTGTATTAGTAAACTGTTTGATATCGTTTTTCTAGAAGGTACAACGTAATTTGGTGCAAGCATCTTAATCAGATTACGGAATTCTGTTTCTTCTACCAATGAAAAAGGATGAAAATGTTTGACGATAAATTTAGTGATCTGTAAGTCTATAGCTTTTGATTTTGTGAGAGAAATTGGTTTACTTATATACTGTGTGATGGCACTTTGTTTAGGTAGATTTGATGCTGATGGCCCTGCTGCTTCAGAAACTACTCTCGACGAACCTGTACTTACAGAGGCACTTGTAGACGCTGGCATGTCGGGGTCCGATGGGTCATCAATGTTGTCATCATTTACTAGCAGTGGTCTTTTAAGTGGCACAGTTACATGTTTAGTTTTTAGATGGCGCATTAGGTTACTCGTTGACCCACCACTATAACTAACACCTTCCTTACAATAAGAACATTTAGCAATAGTAAGGGACTCAATACTAAAATGATTCCATACTGCACTTCTCTTGCGGTTTAAATTTTGCATCTATAATTTTTTTTATATATTATATAATTTTGTTTTAATTTGTACACATTTTAAAAATTAACAAAATTTGTGAGTTATGACTTATAGTATCAAAATATATATGTTTAAATTTTATGGAGTTTTTTAGTTATTACTACCTTTATAACAATTACTAGAATTATAAATTATTGAATGGCACTTCTAACTTAATTTGAATTACATGTACCTGTATAAATTATTATAATAATTGTTTATTATTTTTTGATAAAAATGTACATAAAAATGTACATAAAAAATATTTAAAGATTTTAAATGATAAATTTGAAAATATGATATATAAAACTTAAGTCACAAATCCAAACAATATGAAATTTTTAAAAATCTTACCTTGATGAATATAACTTTGAGTTTAAAATTACTAAAAACAGTAACACCAACGCCACAAGTTGTTGAAAAATATAAAAACGTTTTTTATTCAAATTTTTATGAGTTAAATAAAAAAATAACGCTTGATTAGTCTAATTCGTAGTACAAAATAATTAGTAGGACTCTCCTGGAAGGCTGAAAAACCAATGCCAAGTTGTGCAAATAATTGTTTTATAATTTATTACAATTGCCAAGTATAGACAAAAATAATCATGTCATGAACTGGTCTATGACAGGTTCAAACATGTTAATTTGTTGTAATAATTATGGAAAATTATTGTCTTTGGTGGGAAGAGGGTGCTGAGGCCTGAGAGTAAAGGACTAAAGGAAATGTCTTGTATCTTTTTGAGTATACATACATTTATGATTATTTATGGAACAATATAACAAATTAATTTTTCCACAAACTCATTTTTTTTTTAAATATATGAGTACATATAGATATAACCACTTATTAAACTCGAAGTATAGGATATTTTTGAAATAATTACAATAAATTAATTGTATAATATTGTTTATTGAAGAAACTACAAGTTTTTTTTTAAAACACAAATAATTTGGTTAATATTATGTTTTTAAAGTGGAACAGTAATGTTTTTTAACAATAAAAATATAAGTCATCTCAGCTATCTTAAATTTAGGAAATTAAATTTAATATTAATACAGTTGTAGTAGCCTCAATGTTGACTTAGTTTTATGCAATTTTGCTAAATTGCTATGTAGTTTACGACGTTCGTAACTAATGTTGACAAGACAGCTAACAGACAATGTTTTTATAATTCTTCATTTCTTCACAATAATTACAATAGTGTCTGTGTGTTTAACATCCTCTTAAATGTTTAAATGTTTAACATTCATTATAAATTGATTTTATATTTTAATTTAATCAAAACTCATAGTCTATAGTGATAGTCTATACTCTATAGTCGGTAACTATTTCAATGGTTATTGGTTAAATAAGACTAAAATAAGTAACTATAATGGGCCAGGCCCTGTATCGCAGTGGAATGTTATAACGTTAATTAATGTAATAGTATAAATTTATTTATTTCTAAACCTAAAATATATCATCACCAATGATTCAAAATCGATTCATTTGTCATTTGATTATCATTATGCATGATAAGTGATAACTGAATGAATTAATTCAACTCAGTTTATTGTATTGGTGAATCAAATGAATCAAATGAACGATTCATTTGAACGAATCAATTTACTGAATCGATTCAAATGATTCGAATCAGTATAATGATTCATTTTTCCCATCCCTAGGCCAGGGTACCCGATTTCGGGTTCTAGTGAAACCGATCGGAAACTGCCGTTAAAATGATTTTTAATAATATTTTAGTATCCGAATGCCGCTCCTTTGAAACGGAAAAACGTGAAGCAGGGGTATTAAATATCATGTCAGAAGCCCTCCACCCAGATAACATTAGTCGCAAGATGACCTTTTTAATTAAGACCAACATTATAAATTGTATTTATTCTGTAATATGTCCATGTAAATATTGTATCCTATGTACTATAATCCTAATAATTCTTGTATGCCAATGACCATAGGCGCCGAGGCTTATTTTCTAATAAAAAAAATAATAATAATAATAATATTTAAATTTTGATATGTTATTAAGCGGATTGAGCGGAGTGATTTAATAAGGGGTCCTGTATAGGCAATTCTATGTCTTTTACTCGTTAAGCAGTGTGGTTGTGTGCGAAGTAAATGGTCATTACTCATTAGAGTGAGTAGATACGTTCGGAATCCGTCGTGTGCTACTCTCGCACGCACACGCACATGTTAATAAATCGAGAAAAACGAAATATATTCTTCTATGCGTCACCTATAAAAACTACCAAAAGCGGTAGTAAATTAAACATACTTCCTGAAGTTTGATTGTAATTTTGAAAAAAAGGTTGAATTCGTAAGCTCCTAGACTATGCTTTATAAGAACCACTTTTTTGATATAAAACCCAAAAAGCCCAAAATAAATACAAATGTAATGCAATTATTTCATAAGATTTTTTAAAAAAATATCCAAATTTTTTGAGATTCTTTAAAATTGAAAATTGAAAATCGACTTCCTAGAAAGCCTAGTTATTTTTCCAAAAAATTCATAAATATATTAAAAATTAAAATCGGACATTCGGAGGTACGTGTAATTTACCACCGCTTATTGGTCTAAAACGTACGAAAAATACGTGATATGCGAATATGCGATCCCCTTAACATAAATTAATAGATAATATAGACTAATAAATACTGTATGTATTATCTAAAGTTGATTATTATTTTATTAGTATAGTCCATTATTTTACTGTACAATTTTTTTTAAGTTTGATAATAAAAAGTTGTATTCTTTATGATATTTATGAATTAAATTGATTAAAAAAACTAATACGTTAGATACTGATACTTGGTACATATTATTACACACAGTGGCGTATATAGGAATTAATTGGGGGTGAATAATGGGGGAATCCCTTTAAATACGCCACTGCATATACATATACACATGAAAGGTTAGTGTATTTGTAATAAAACAATAAAAGATTATTAAATATTAAGTGTAATGATTTTTCGAGCTGAGCGAGAAAATTTCTTAAAGATTTTATACATTGGTAAATATATAGGTATATTCAACTATTTTTAGGTGCGTATACCCATAAATTTATTTACCAGTACACCACTGCTTATAGATATTTTTTGTATATTTGGAGCTCCGTGCATACTACAATCAGACAATGGTAGAGAGTTTGTAAATCACATTATAAATGATTTAATTCTAATGTGGGATGGTTTAAAAATTGTACACGGGAAGCCACGTCATTCGCAAAGCCAGGGGAGTGTTGAGCGAGCTAACCAGGACATCGAAAAAATAATTTATATGCGTGGATGGAAGATAATCAGTCTAGAAAGTGGAGTGAAGGATTGAGATTTTGTCAATTTTCCAAAAATAGTGCTTATCAAACTTGCATCCAACAACCTCCATATGAAGCTATGTGTGGAAAAAAGTTAGTCTTGGATTAAAAATGTAATTTTTACCCAATGATATAATTAATAATGTAAATGACGAATATGACCTACTACAATTTGTAGGAAATGAAAATAAAAATGAAATGTATGTATTAAATGAAAATGAGATGGAGGTATTAAATGAAAATGAAATGGAGGTATTAAATGGAAATGAAAAAAATTTAGTCAACCTATCTCAACAAGAACAACATTTTAAAAAAGCACGGGAAAAGTCTACTGATGGATTAGTTGAGCAATAAAAAAAAATGAAGTTACGGAGTGAAAATCAATTTCCACCTCTAACAGTCGAAACGACAGTGAAAATTCCAGTGCCTTGTGTTGATAGAGGAAAAGTCGATGCAAATAATTTGTTAGGTGTTATATTAATTGTTACTGATGATGGATTCTATAAAATAGGAACCAAAAATGGAATTTTGTCATCACTTTATGCCAGAAACCAAATATTTCAATGCAAGGAACAATTTATTAGTAGCAATGATGTACCGAATATCGAAATACCACTGAGGACTGCTAGTACTCAAAATTCATTAACTGGAAGACAAGGGCAAAACTAAGTGCACTACAAGACGATGCAAATGTAAAAAACAAAATATTTTGTGTAGTTCTAAATGCCATGGTTCTAATATGTGTAGCAACAAATAAACAAAAATATTATTTTTTTATTATTATATTCAATTATGTCTGTACAATATGTTTTATTAATTATTTATTTTAACATTATAAGGGTACCTAATATTATTATATGTTTATTTTTATACGAGTTCTTAATATCATTATATTTTTATTATTATTTAAGTGTATTCAATTATATCTGTACAATATTTTATGATTATTATTTTTTGTATGTGGTTATTATAAACGCTACAGTTTGGCTCAAGTGAGGTTTAAATGTATTAATTAAGTTCATTCAATTATATTTGTATAATTGTACTATTGACACTACTGTTTTGCCATTACAATAAAAGTCAGTATACGGTTTTGCCCAAATGAAGTTGGTCATAACTAGGTTTGCCCGGTCATAAGCCGCAATATGACATTTTGCCCAAGGATTGTGAGCAGTTCGCGTTTTGCCCGGGCATTTCTGAGGTTTGCCCGATTTCGGCTTTTGACATCAACAGGAAGTGGACAGGGTCGCCGAGCAAATCCTGTGAGGCTAGAGTGTGGCCGTATTTTTTATACAAAGATGATTTTGAAATAAACAATCCATTAAGTTCACACACTTCTTGTCATTCTATTTGTCATTTATTATAGTTTTCCACTAAGTGACCAATCCAAGCTTTCCAATATATTTGTTCCTGCATTACTAAAGTCGATTGATATAATAAAATTAGGTAATTATCAATGCCTAAAACAATTAATTAATGAATTAAATAAACTTGAGATCGATGGTATATTTATTAAAACTCCAGAAGGGGAAGAAAAAGTTCATTTTATTTTAGGTTTACTTGTTGATGATAATTTAGGGCTAAATAGTGTTCTAGAATTTAGTAAATCTTTTTCCGCAAACTATTTCTGTCGATTTTGTAAAGAAAATAAATTAGTTACCCAAAAAGCATCCGAAGAAAATGTTTTGTTACTTCGAAATTATGAAAATTATTTAGAAGATATAAATACAAATGATTTTAAATCGACTGGTATTTATAAAGAACCAATTTTCAACCAATTAAATTTGTTTCACGCTACAACAAATTATAGTATCGATATTATGCATGATATATTTGAAGGTATCTGTCATTATAATATGTGTCACATAATAAAATATTACACAGAAAATGTAAACATTTTTTCATTGCATACATTAAACTCAAGAAAACAAAATTTTAATTATGGAAGTATTGAAATTGGCAATGCCTCTCCACTTATTAAATCAATTCATATTCAGAAATTCCACTTAAAAATGACAGCACGTGAAAATGTGAAATGATGACCTTTGTGCATTTTTTTTCATTAATGATTGGTGATTTAGTTCCAAAATATGATCCAGTATGTGCATTTTTTAAAAATTTCTTAGAAATAATAGACATTGTACTATCAAGCCAAATTAAAGATAATACTATAAATCATTTAAAAGAACTTATTAAGCATCACAATTTAAATTATGTTTTACTTTTTCAGGATACATTAAAACCAAAACACCATATTCTATTGCATTATCCTTCAATTATTAAAAAATCTGGCTCTCCTAAACATTTTTGGTGCTTTAGATATGAAGCAAAACACAAAGACCTTAAAGCATATGCCCGTAATATAAGTTATCGTAAGTATATAGCCTTATCATTAGCCAAAAAATGTCAATATAAATATGCATATAAAATAACGAACTATAAAAATAATACAAATAATATAGAATTAGAGAACAAACATAAAATAACTAGCAATCACACAACATTTTTAGAGAGAATTTATGGCTTTTAATTTGATACTAATTTATGTAGCTATTCTCAAATAGATTATAAAGGTACAACATACAAAACCGGATATTTTTTAACAAACTTAACATTATGTGAATGGTCATTTTTAGAGAAATATTGTACTGTAATGGAACCGTTAGCTATTTCTTTAGATAAATTACAGAATGAAAAAACATGTTTTTTGGGCTATGTTATTCCCACAATAATTGCATTAAGACTGAAGTTACTTAATTCAACAAGTTCAGTTTATTGTAAGCCATTATCATTATTGATAGTTCAAAGTCTGGAAAAAAGATTTCAATTTGTATTTGATCTTGAACATTTAAAAAGCAAACCTTATATATTGTCATCAATAAGTCATCCAAAATTTAAATTAAATTGTATTCCTTTAAAATTTATGTCAGTATGTAAAAAATTATTCTTGTCTGAATGCAATTCATTAAATTTATCTTCCAACAATTTAGATTCAAATGTAGAACCTGTTGATAACGATGGCGGTGACTTTTATAATATTCATAACCTCTTCATGCATATTGGTATCATATGATACCATAAAATATTATAGCTGGAAAATAATTTAGATTACATTATTATTTACAACCAATTAGATCAACCAATTATCAACATATATAGTTTTTATTCCATGAAATATTTCATGTCTCTCATATCATACAGTTATATTATCAATGTTTGAAAATCATAATACTTGATTATGAAAAAATACAATTCTTGTCATGTTTGTTGTTAAGTTTTATTTATTTATAACTGTTGTTTCACTATATTTTAATATTTTTTAGTTTAGAAATGTTATAAAGATTTATATTATCTATAGTTTTGTCGATTTTATATTAATATTACTTCGTAATACACACAAGTATCCATGGTATCATATGATACAACTGTGCAGTTCAGGTACGTGTATATCACATTTTATTCAAAATTTGTATATTTCATTTTGGCTTTATATATATATTTTAGAAAATTAATAATATGGATTTAAATGACAAGGACATTGAATATTTTTATTGGACTTTAACTTGCCAAGTGGTTCAGAAGCTAGTTTTTGCGACAGTGATGACGGTAATAATGATTCTGATGGTAATGATGATAATATATTGTATGAACAAAATGACAATGATACTGAGGAAATTGTACATTCAACCCCTCAACCTATTGAAGACTTCCTGGGTAATATAAACAGTGAAACAAGATATGAATATTATGATTTATCAGCTAGTATTCTTGTTATGGATGCCAATGATGTAGATAACTATGATAATTTTGTAAATAATATCAGACAACAATCACAGCATCAAAATAATGTAGTAGAAAATAATACTTTTGTTGATGATGCATTTGCCTTTAGCCCTTCCACGTCCAGCGATAAAACTTACCCAGATAGTTCTAATGATCCATTGCCAACAAAAAAATTGATAAAAAAAACTTTGCCCATCTTACCAAAAAAAAAGAAAAACTAGAATTTTTCCAGTAAGAAACATGCACACAAACCCAATTAAAAAACCCAAAAGGCCCAGAGAAAAAAGAAAACAACTAAATGGTTTCCAGGAAGAGATAACCAATTCACAGACTCAGTTCCTCCTTCCATTGGTAGTGAAACAGTAAATATTGACACAAATGATGGGGCTACCCCTTATTCCATTTTTATTCAAATATTTACTGATGAATTATTTGAACTAATAAAAGTGGAAAACATAAGGTACGCTGTTCAATGTGATAAAGACAATTTTACCTTGTCTATCTAAGAATTAAAAATTTTTTTTTGCTATCAATATAGCTATGACCTATATAAAATACCCAAAAGTGCGGATGTATTGGTCTTCACAAGAAGGATTGAGAATGGATTTGATAGCAGATGCCATGTCTTATAATAGATTTTCTGAAGGCAAGAGATATATTCATTTTGTGGACAACAGTGACCAGCCTAATACTGTCGACAAATATTGGAAAGTTCGGCCTGTCATAGATATTTTGCATGAGTCTTTTCATGCAGCTACTTCAACTAGTGAGCCCATTGCAATAGATGAAATGATGGTGCCATTCAAAGGAAAGAGTTATCTAAAACAGTATTTAAAATCTAAACCCAAGAAATGGGGTTTTAAAATATGGGTTCAAGCTAGTACAAATGGGTATGTACACTGTTTTGAAATGTACCAAGGCGCATCAATTTTAAAACGTTCAGAATATGGTCCAATTGGTGATACTGTGATATATCTTTGTCATGCAATTCATGGAAACAATCACAAACTGTTTATGGACAATCTGTTTACATCTGTTCCACTGTTGAGAAAATTAAGATCATTCAATATATATGTCTTATGAACACTTAGAATTAATAGAGTACATGGTATTGAAAATAATTTAGTTTCTGATAAATTGATGGAAAGAGGTTCTTGTTCCATTGCTACTTCAGACGATAACATAACAGTAGTTCGTTGGAAAGATACCAAACTGGTACATACAATATCCACATATGCAGGAGCTATACTTGAGGATACAACAATGCGTTATGATAGGAAAGATAGAAAAAGAATTGAAGTTACCAGACCTTTTAGTATACGATAATATAATAAATTCATGGGTGGGGTGGACCTAATGGACCGTATGATTGCCCATTACCCCCATGGCTTTAAAAATAAAAAATGGTATCTCAGAGTTTTTTTTTCATTTTTTAAATGTAAGCATCGTCAATTCATGGATAATATACAGAGAACAATGCAGCGATATTCCTCTTCTTAATTTTAAATCATCATTAGTTTGGACAATGCTTCAAATTGGCAAACATAGTGGGCCCAAAAGAGGAAGAAAGTCACTGTCACAGACACCACCAACAAAAAAAAGAAAGAATGTCAGAGTTCCAGTCCCTGAAGTGCGATATGATGGTATAAACCATTAGCCTGCGAAGACAACTAAAAAACAAGCATCCAGATGTAAAGATAATAATTGCACTTCCCGAAATTGCATTTCATTGTTTGCCCAGAGAGTATGGGAAAGTTACCATACCAAAACATTTAAGTAAAAATTTGAGACTTAAATATACTTACTATACCAAAACTTTAATTTAAAAGTAAAAAAGTAGGTTCCTATAAATATTGTTTTTGGTTTATTATTTTATTAACATTGTTATGTTTTGTATAAGCTTTTACTCTACTACATAAAAATTTTAATTAATAGTGAAAAAGGAAGTTCCTATAAATATTATTTTTATTTTATTATTTTATGATTTAAATATATAGAAATAAAATATTTTATTTTATGTATTTTATTTAAAATATTATGTTATTTTACTAACTTTGTTAACTTTGAATGTTATGTTTGTATTTTGTTATACCTAGTTATCTAGTTTTATTGTTTGAATGAGGTAATGCAGATGGTTATTATTCAATAAATGTATTCATAAACTTTGACTATTTTTTTATTTTTTTTTGTGGTCCATTTTGGCACAGATGTATCATTTGATACCGATTGTTTAAACCCTTAAAAAATGTTGAAGGGTTGATTTAGGAATTTTTTTCCGAGAAAACCGTAATGTTGTGCATGAAGAGGATAATGAAAATGATTGTGAACCGTTTTCTTCTACATCTACAAATGTAGCTAATTAGCAAGCTTTGTCATATTTAGATTTAAAAGAAAAATAACTAAGTATTTTGAACTCTTATTCCATTGTAAAAAATATATTTTTTAAATATAATATAACATTACCATCTTTTGCTCCCGTGGAGCGTCTATTTAGTTGTGGGTCTCAATTTTTAACTCCGAGGCGTAATAGACTCAATGATAAAACATTTGAAATGATCCTCTGTTGTAGGTGTTTCCTTATAAATAATAATGATAGACAACAATAATTTTTTTATTCTTTGATTTGTGTTATAATCTTTATTATTTGGTTTGTTTAAATATACAGTTATTTTAGTTATTAAATGTACACATGTTAGTATGTTACATGTATAATTTTTTTTTTACTTGGGTATATTGATATATAAGATATAACTATATTTTAGTATTAGATTTGTATATACTATTTTTTTTATATAACAAACATTGGTACCTACTTGTTTTTAATTTATTTTTAAGAAATATGCTGCATAAATGTAATATTACCTATGTTTTGCTTATATTTATCTAAATGTTGTGTAAAAAGATGATTTAAACTAAACAAAATGTCAAACTATAAATATAAATGATAAAATTCTCCAGTAAAGTGTTTGTTTGTTTATTAATTAATTATTAAATATTTATTAAAATTGTGTATTAAGGTGTGTAGATACTAGATACCATTATATTATAAATTAATAGTACCTACCTACCTAGTATTATATTATTTATTACCACTAAAAAAATAATAAGAAATACAATTAATAAACCATTGTCCATTATTCATTAATACAATATTAAAAATTGAAAATATAAGTATAAAGGAAATTCTGACTAATTAATTTTTAACTTGTGTTTTTCATATCACATTTAACATTTTATGGTAACTTAAAAATTGCGCTATGCTTACTGTTTGAACTTTTATTAAAAAACATTAAATAATTTTTTTTAGAAAAATGTAGTTTTGTGATTACTGATTGATACCTTACCTATTAAGCAACTATATTTTTTTTTATCTAGATAAAAATTTTTAATATTTTATCTTTATCTAGATAAATTTTCTGTCAATTATCTTTTATCTTTATCTAGATAATTAAAAAATTATCTTTATACAACACTGTTAATAAATGATGGAGACTTAACTTGGCCTGTGATTGAAACAATTTGGAAAAAAACAATTAACTATAGACTTAAATTCATAAAAGAAAATAACACTACATCTATTTTTAAAAAATGGATACACTATACAAAACTTTTGGGCTACAAATTAGTAAGTCATTTGATATATTATTAATAAATTTACTTGTAAATAATAAATATTTTTAGGTTGAGATTGACTTTGCCGCATGTATTCAAAATTCAAAAACTTATCTATAAAATTTGGAGATAAATCTTCAATTCTATTAGATATTTTTGATGACCGTATTAAAGATAGTGGAAGTAAAACCCTACTACCTACAACAATTTATGTGACAGTAAGTTGAAGTTAATTACAATATAGACTTTGTACTAATCTAACAAATTATAAACTTTTTAGATGGTACACACTTAACCATGTTATATATATTACATTCATTATTTATACCAACATCCAGAAAAGTGACCTTAGATGAAAATGGGAAAAATCTATTATCAGATATTCTATTAGAGATTCACAGAATACTTTTGTTTTAGTAGCACCAACTGCATTAGAATTAGATATGTAGTATCATACATAAAAATATTGTTAACTAGGTTAAGTAAACATTCAATGTAATACGATAACATTTAGTATAATTTTAAACATAGTCAGTAAGTATAATGAAACTAGGTTAAATTTAATATCGATACTACAAATAGACAATAGTGCTTCAATTGTAAATTATAATATTAATATATAAGTAATATGGGAAGATAGATAGGGGGTCAGTCAGCGGTGATCGTGTGTTTCGATCGCCACTGGACGTAAGAGTTTTAATAAAAGTGCTTAATAATAATTTTTCTTTTTATTGTGTGCGTCTGTCAAACGGCGTATACGACAGTGGCGCCCAACGACAATCGTAATCCACGACCCGGAATTTTTAACATTTGTGTATTTGTTTGTTTGTGTATTTGAGTTTAATTTGTTTTAATTACAAGTACCTTTTTTTTGTGTGTGTTTTACACATATCGCGTTTTATAATTTGTCCATCAGATTGAACATTTACGGCGGGAAGACTACGAGCAATTGGGTCCATCATTTTGGTGTTTTACACACTCAAGGTGAATATTAGTGTATGGTTATATTTTGTATTTTTGTATGTATGCGATCTATATTTTACGAATATTTTTTTTTTGTTTAACCAATTTTTTTTTTATTATTAGTGTTCATTTATTTATATTTAAATTTAAGAAGTAGTTATAATTATTTAGTTAGGTTTTTACATAGTAATATATATATACCTTTTTTTTTTTATCAAACACTCCCAATAAATTTTTCTTACAATAAATTTAATAAAACTTCTTAATAATTTAAATTTGTAGGGATTTTAACAATATTATAAAGTAGGTAGGTATATAATTTTAGTTAATTGAAGATAAACATAATTAAAAACCGTTAAAATGTCAAAGTATAGATTTAGGATTATTTAAATTAATTTTTCAAATTTTATAAATTAATGAATCAACTTAAAGACCCTAAATCGGATCTTTCTATAACAATAAATACTGCAACAGAAATCTATACTCTCAAAAAACCATTTCTTATTAAATATTGCGAAAATAAAAATTAAAATCAACAGGTACAACTAGTGAATTAAGAGCTAGACTTAGTAGATACTTAAAAGGCACCATAACATTAGACGACATAGATAACACATTAAGCAAAGAAGAATGCGATTTAATTTTAATCAAAGCAAAAACTAATAAAATCGATTTTAATAAATTAGAAAAAGAAGCAGGAATACTCGATTCGAGCGATTCGAGCACTGACACAAATACAATTAATAAATTAACTCCAGACAGCTTTTCAGAAATATCAAAAGATAATTTAAAATTATACGATAATCTTAATGTCAGTACAAGCTCATTTGTGAATAACACCGAAAATATTCTAACAAATTCAGATATAACTTACCAAAATTGTCAAAAGGAAAGTTCTGATACTTATGAAAATATATTAAAAAATCTTAAGATTAATGATACTTCTAATAATATTTATGAGGAAATAAAATTAAATACTCAACCAGAAAATAGTGAGATTATTGAAAATAAGTTAATAAATCTTAATAATTCAACAACTATTGATTCTAATAACACAAGTGAAAAACCAAAATTCAAAAACGAAAACACAGCAATAAAAAAAAATAATCAAAAAGGAGATAACCTAAACTCTGAAATTCATTCTACTCTGTTAAATAAACAAACACAGATAATGACAGAAAAAATTCTAATGATTCGACCAGACCAGTTCTCAGGTAATGAAGACGTAAGAAAATATTTCAAGCAATACGAAAAAGCAGCAGATGTAAACGGTTGGAAGGACGAAGATAAAGTAAGATTTTTATCGATATTCGTAAAAGGTACAGCAAGCATATTTTTGGAAAATTTGGAGGACAAACATAATAATTGGACATGGAATGATTTGAAACAGGAGTTTCTCGACGAATTTCAACCAATGGGTTACAATACAATTTTAAAAACTAGATTAGAAAATAGACGTCAAGGAGATACAGAGTCTATAATGAGTTTTGTAACAGAAATAGAAAATATATGTAGACAATTAAATAAAAATATGCATGAAGATGAAATTTGCACTTATATTTTAAAGGGATTAAAAGAGACAGTCTTACATGCAATTTCATTACATGACAATAGCAACCTAAAGGAGCTAAAGAAAAATTTAAAAAAATTTGAACTGATGCAATTTCGAATTAATAACAGAGGACCAGAATTAAGTGATTATACAGAAATGCTTAATGAACACGTATCTCAACTAAACCAAAAAACAAAAGAAAAAGGAAGAGAAATCGATGAACTAAAAAGACAGTTAATAGAGAGAGATAGAGAATACAAAAAGGAGATGAACCAGTTAAGGGAAAATATTCAACAAATCAACATTACAGAAAGAAGAAATAAATCGGTAAACTTCGATGATGAAGAAATAGATAATCGATATAATAATAAAAACTATAACTAATGAAGATAGGAGCAGAAGTTATAATAGAGAAACAAATTATCGAGGACGACAACGTGAATACAAAGATAAAAGTCCATACCCAGGAAGATATAATGACAGAAGTAGAGAATCTAACAGAAATAGACAATATGGTAGAGACAGATCACAGTCCAGAGAGAGACAATATTACAACAAAATACAAAACGAGACTAATACATATCGAGATTACGAAAGAAATCCAAGCCATAGATATGATTCAAACAATTACGAATATAGAGATAACTCACGTAATAGAGAAGCTAACTTAAATACAGCCAACGGTAGAGGCTATAGAAACAGGTCACATTCAAGAGATCGAGACAATAATGGAAATTACAATTACAACTACAGGCATCAATACAGCAGAGAACATAGTCGAGAGAAAACACCAGAAAGATACAGGGGAGATCGCTATAATAAAGAATCGGAAAGAGTTACATGCTATAGGTGTAATGAAAAAGGTCATTATGCCGATAAGTGTACAAATACAAAAAACTAGTAGGTACCGAGTTGAAAAAAAAATCGGATTGTTTAACTCGGGAATATAACTGTAACAATTTTAATGACACAATAGGTATAGAGAAAAATAATTATATACACTACGTAAAAAACTGGCACAACACACAAGAAACGAAGAAATGCATAATCAACAATTATCAGAACATTGACCTATTAAGAAATCATAACAAAACTGTTATAATAAACAACATTGAAAAATACAATTCAGCAATTAAATATAATACTTCAGAAAAACATCACAAAAACGAAGGTGATGACGAAACTGAAAGAAAAATTAAACATACCGCTGGCTCATTCATAAAAATACAGGAAGTACCTTGCGATGGAGATGATGGTGCACATTCACTACGGATTTGTTTACTACAATATGGAATAAAAAAAACTACCTTAGAAATAATTAACATGCTGACTATTGATAAATTAAACTCCGGTTACAATTTTAGAGACGACGACTTAGCGTATGTTTGCGACCATTTTGGCATGAATTTATTTATAATAGCTGAAAAAAATGACACTTCAAATGCTATAATTTATTGGAAAACAAACAGGCCAAGTATAGGCATTTTTTATAAAAATAATCACTGGATGCCGGCAGTCGAAATAAAAACAAATGAACCACAAATATTCTCAAATATAATAGTTAACACAATTTTTCCCGAACGTAGCAATATCATTGAACATGTACAAAACTACATGAATAAATATGTAGACCATACAAAATGCACAGAGACAAGCACAAACACCGGGACTGAATATGATAATAAACATAGAGTATTGTCAATAAATGTAGAACACGAAGGAATTGAGAAACACGCCATAATTGATACAGGATCAAATATTTCATGTATAAATGTTTCGCTAATCAAAAACCTTCAATGCATAAAAAACAAAGAACAAGTTACGATAACAGGCGCCAACAATTCAAAATTGGATCAAGTGGGAAAAATAAATTTAATGATTAAAATAAATAATCAGCAATATTTTATTGATGCATTTGTTATAAAAGGTCTAAATTGCGAAATATTATTGGGGAATAATTTCAATATTAAAAATAATTTAATAATAAATTTCAAAAACAAAAACATAAAAATCAATAACGATGTCATAACGATGAACGAAGTATGGTATAACTATTACAAAGAGAATAATAATTCAAACAACAGAGAAAGCAAATATAACATAGCCAGCATAAATTATAATAAAAAAAAAAATTGGAAAAATCATATGTAAAGACAATATAACGATATCACCTAAAAGTAAAATAAATATAAATACAAAAAATATGTATATAGAAACAAAAGAACAAAACAAAAGTTATGTAATAGAACTTAGAGAAAGTTTAAGCAAAAATAAGTATTTAAAATTGGAATCAACATACTTTAACATTGATGACGGAATCACAATTTACAATTTTTCAAAATTATATAGTAACATACCGAGAGGAATGACGATAGCGAATTTAATAAATACTGACACACCAAGGGTACAAGACGACACAGTATGTGAGCAAATAAACACCACTAATAAGACACCAACAGAAAAATATAATGACGATAACATTGAAGAAATTATGGATAAGCAAGGAAATGTTATTAAAATATCACAGGAATTAAATACTGAACAAAGAAAAAGGGCTTTAAGACTTATAAACAATTATAAACATTTATTTACATCAGATCCTTTAGACATTGGTTGCGCCAAGGTAGAACCATGTGAAATTAAATTAAAAACAGATAAAGCAATATTCCAACCACCATACAGAGTTTCACCTGCACAAAGACATAAATTGAGAATTCTAATTGAAGAAATGATAAACGCAGACATAATAGAACCTAGTAAAAGTAATTACGCTGCTCCAGTATTTTTAGTTCCTAAGAAAGAAAAAGGGGAATACCGATTCTTAGTAGACTATAGGAAATTGAACAACGAAACGATACCCGACAAACACCCAATTCCACGATCACAAGATCTTTTTAGAAGCCTGGAAGGGGCTCAATATTACTCTTCTATAGACATGGCCCAGGGGTATTTTCAAATTCCGATAAAACAAGAGGACCAAAATAAAACAGGATTCATAACAGATTTTGGACTTTTTAATTTCAAAAGGATACCACAAGGGTTTAAAAATTCAGCACCAATTTTTCAAAGAATAATAAATAATGTATTCAGTGACTATCTGTACAGGACAATGATAGCCTACCTAGATGATATATGTTGTTTCGGAACCAATTTTGAAGAAGCGCTAACTAATTTAAAAGATATATTCAGTAGACTGGAAGAAGCGGGTCTAAAATTAAAAACAAATAAATGCAATTTTTTTAGTTCAAATATTGAATTACTTGGACACTCAGTATCAAACATAGGCATAAAACCATTAGAAAAAAATATTAAAGCGATTACTTCATTTCCAATTCCAAATAAAATAAAAGACGTAAGAGCTTTCATTGGACTTACAAGTTATTATAGGAAATACATTAACAATTTTGCAAAAATAGCAAACCCTTTGACAAGCTTAACAAAAAAGGATAATAAATTTGTTTGGGGAAAAGAACAGGTAGAAGCTTTTGAAATTTTAAAAAAGGCCATAACCACAGCACCAGTTCTGACACATTTCGAAGATGGATACCCAGTTTTTGTTACCACTGATGCTTCGCTAGAAGGATTGTCTGGTATACTGGAACAAGAAGACAACAACGGTAAAAGGCATCCTATAGCCTATGCTTCTAGAAAATTAAAAGGAGGTGAAAAGAACTATACAACTACAGAATTGGAAATGTCGGCTGTAGTATTTGCGACCAACCACTTCAGAGAATATCTCTTAGGGAGAAAAATAACTGTGTTTTAGCGATCATTCCAGCTTACAGTATTATCAAACGATGAAAAACCCATCATCTCGTATTACAAAATTTATTTTTAAACTCTTAGAATACGATCTTGAAATAAAACATCGCCCAGGCTCATGGAACACGGCTGCAGATTGTCTCTCGCGTTACCCCGTTAATATAACGAAAATTTCTGATATGTTAAACGATGACGACGACAAAAAAAATATAGACACAATTAATTTCGACACAATAGAACCTGAGACACTGAGAACATTACAGTCAACAGACGAATATTGTAAAAACATAATTTTATCCTTATCAGGAGATACTAAAAATAAATACTATAAAAAATCCAGAAAATATATTATTAAAGACAAACTACTATACTTCAAAAATTGGTCACCACATGGCATAAAATATTTATTAGTTATTCCGACTAATTTGGTAAATACTGTCTTAAAGTCCTACCACGAATCCGTTTTTTCAGCACTCTTTGGTATTACGAAAACTTTATCAAAATTAAAAGAAAAATATTACTGGCCAACCATTATATAAGATACTTATTCTTTTATAAAAACATGTACATCATGTCAGCTTTCCAAAAAGCCTCCAGGTAAAAGCAACGGACTACTACAACCAATACCTTTAATTTCGGGAAAGCCGTTACAAAGACTAACATTTGATTATCTAGGCCCATTACCAACGTCCAACGGAAAAAAATATATTATTGTAGCAACCTGCAACGCAACAAAGATGGCCTTTGCGAAAGCAGTTACGAATGCAAACGGAGCAGCCACGATAAATTTCCTTATGGAACTAATAACATCTTACGGAGTCCCTAAATATTTTTGTAGTGATAGAGACACTCACTTTAAAAACAAAGAAGTAGAGTATGCATGCAAAAAACTAGGAATTGAACAAATATTCTCAAGTGCCTACCATCCACAAACGAACGGTATGACTGAACTAATGAATAAAATTATTTGTAGTAGCCTAACGCACTACGTAAATGAAAATCAAAAACAATGGTCCTTATACTATAAAATGGTAGTTTTTGCATATAATACTTGTCCTAGCTCAAGACTAAAAGTCAGCCCATTTTATTTACTACATGGCATGGAAGCTAATCAACCATTGGACAACAAGTTAATGTCTGGATAAAAAGAAACATTTAATCTTACAAAATCTCTAAAACAATTACAGATAATTAGAGAAACTATACCAGGAATAATAAAAACGAACAATCAATCCAGAAAAAGCTATACGATCAAAAACACAAAGACATTAACTTCAAACCAGGACAGAAGGTATTAATACAATTCGATTTTCAGGAACCAAACAAAACAAAAAAGTTAGCTAACAAATATAGAGGTCCTTTTACGATTGTTGAAAAATTAACAGAGGTAAACTATAAAGTAGAATTAATTCTAAATAAGAAAAAGGTATTAGACGTTATACACGTACAGCGAATAAAACCTTTCCATGAAAATTTATAAATTTGAATAAAAATTACATATACATTCTTATAAGAACTAATTTACAATATTAAACCAATTACCAATCAATGATCTGTTCTAGATGTTATCCAAATATATTTTAATTCTCATATCAATCACCAACACATGTGCTGAGGAAGATATAGCTATAACTGTGTCACCCGGAGCATTTTTCGAAGAAATCCAAGAAGCCATCTTATACGACAAAAGTATTCCTCTGGTATACACGCAAGAAATCCAAGATAACAATTCAAACAACATAAATTATAGCTGGGGGGTACAAAAATATTGTACAAATAAAAACACCAATTATTGTAATATTATGAAAGAAACGTTAGAAATCCTAACTACCATAAATAAAAATATAGAGGACAACGACAAAGATATATTAGAGATCATAAACCTCAACCTTAAAAATAATAGATCAAAGAGAGGCATACAATTATTCGGGAACCTGTACCATTTCTGTTGCAATATAGCTACTGAAAAACAATTGAAAAATATTTATACGAACGAAGAAGCGTTAAATCAACAAATTAATAAATTTAAAGATGTTTTCGTGTCAGATCATAGGGATTTAATTAATATTACAACCGAATTAAACAAATATACTAAAAACACAAATAATAATATAAAACTGTTAAAAGAAAACTTCATCAAATTCACAAATGAGGAAAAAACCAATAATTTAATAGAAAAAACAAACCACGAAAACACAATTCAAGGTATCCAAGAAATAATATACAACCTCATGAAAATAATATTAAAATTCACAAATTATGAAAGAGACACTAGTACTCACTTACACTGTAAGTTACAAAAAATACCACCAAGAATAATAGAGTCCAAAACATTGTATAATGACCTCATAAAACTAGAAAACACAATAAAAAAAGATGGGTACGAACTGACCATTCCGTGGGAAAATCTTTCAGCGTATTATAATTTACCTATAGCTGAGTGTCAATTTTCAAAAACAAAAATTCTAATAAAAGTAAAAATACCGATCCAAGAAAGATTTGCTAAATGGAAATTGTACCAATACATACCGATACACTTCAAATTTCATGACTCTGTCTGTCTGATACATTCAGAAAAAACATATATCGCAAATAATTATATAAATTACGAACATAGGATTATTTCAGGAATTGGACTACAACATTGTGATCCACCCATTACTGATTTATGTTACATCCCAAAATTCTCGTCCGATATCACCCTCTCACCAAAATGTGTAGAAGCAATATTTAAGAACCTACCATTAGACGTAATTAATCAATACTGTTATTTTCAATGTGTTAAACAACAAGTTGAAGATTCTACAATAATTAAACAAATAGGAATACACACCTATGCACTAACAAACCCACAGCCAACTCTAAAAATAAAAATTGAAAAGTTAAATACAACAATTATAAAAGAACTTAACATAAACTATAGCTATCCAGGGTTAATTAAAATATCGTTCCCATGTAATTATGAATTATTAAAGGACGAAAAGATTTTAATCCCAAAAATGTACCCATGTGAATCTAATAACCTAAACAAATTCAAAATTAATAGAATATTACCAGTATCTTGGACAAAAATTAAGTCATTAAAAACCAATTATGAAGAAACCAAAGATAATAATATGTACTTTACCAATATGTCAGAAATATTAAATACAGATTGGACCAAACAAATACCAAACATAGATAAATACTTAAATGATATCATCCTAAAAAAAATTAAACAACCATTTGTAGATGAATTCTTAGGAGACATCATATACTTAACATGGCTAACAATCCTCACAATCACAATAGGTTTCATTATTTACAAAATTTATCCTGTAATAATTAAAAGCGAATTTATGACCTTGCCACCACCAATTCCACCCAGAATGATACTAAAAAAAAATATATTAATAAAAGACTCAATACATATTATATACAATATACATAAATATTTATACCCATTTATTTAGATAAAAAAAAAAGAGTATAAATTATACTGTATATGAATAATTATAAACTAAAAATTAAACTAAAACATTATATATATTTACAAAAAAAAATGTTAATAAATCTAATATCTTATATTGATATATTTAATATAACTTTTTATCTCTAGTTCAGTCATCTATTAACTATGTTTTTCCTTTCTGTCTATAAAAATTATTAGTTTTTAGAAATGTATAAAATATAAATTATATTTAGCACATATCTACATAAATATACCGAAATATTTTATCTAGTGTAACTTTAAACATACCTATATCATAATTAATTACATACGTATCTATTAATATTGTGAAATTATAGTTCAATAATACTTTTATTAAAACTGCATATAATATTTTTCCCTATAATGCTACATTGTTTTTGTGTTCATTGTTTACATTATTGAGGTTTATAATACTTTCATCATGTTAAATTTTAAATTTTAAAACCTAACAAAAATTGTTATTACTATTATACTTTTGCTGTTTCAGCATATTTCTAATTTTAATATGAAAACTATCGGTTCAATACTTCAATCGATGGTTAAATTGTTGGTATGTAAGCAAATTACTGTGATGTATACATTTATAAGTCTCATAGTATATAACGTTTAAATAACACCTTTATTTGGCATCTTTAACAACATCTTATTATTTGTATACAAGAATATTGTAAAATTTTACTTCTATTCAAAATTATTTATTGTTTTTTTTTAACATTTGTAATCATGTTATCATATATTATTTACCATTTACCTTATGGTTGACTTGGGTTTTATAGTTTTATTTATCAATTATTTGTTAAAACTACATAATTTATTTACATACTGTTTTTTTATCAAACCTTGGCATTGGCAATTGTAATAGATTAAAATACATGTGACGAAATAATAAGGTCAAGCGATTCAAACAAAAATCATCGTCCATCGTCTATCAGAGATACACCGATAAGGTACACAAAAATGTTCGACCAATCTAAGGACTGGAAAGAAGACTTCTAAATCTATATCCAACGACCAATTCTTTGAGAGAAGACCAAAAAAGGCGTAAAAATATTAATTTTTGTTGACCACGTAACTCCATCACCATCAACTTCTATTTAATTTTATATACAAAACTCATATATAATTTAAATTTCATTCTCAACTGCAATAATTACTTAAAAATATGAGGACATATTTTGTGTTACATAGGGGTGTGTAGTATCATGCATAAAAATATTGTTAACTAGGTTAAGTAAACATTCAATGTAATACGATAACATTTAGTATAATTTTAAACATAGTCAGTAAGTATAATGAAACTAGGTTAAACTTAATATCGATACTACAAATAGTGCTTCAATTGTAAATTATAATATTAATATATAAGTAATATGGGAAGATAGATAGGGGGTCAGTCAGCGGTGATCGTGTGTTTCGATCGCCACTGGACGTAAGAGTTTTAATAAAAGTGCTTAATAATAATTGTTCTTTTTATTGTGTGCGTCTGTCAAACGGCGTATACGACAGATATTATCATTGATAAACTAAAAAATCAATCAAATAGTGTACAACCATTTATATTAGTAGTAGGCTCATTATTATATCCAAAACAAGTAATAGTTTCTTTTGATGATATTAAATATAAGCTAATAACTGTTTTAAAAGCCATTGATGTCTGTTTTAAAATTTTTCACGTCTTCAATTTGGAATACCCTTTAGAATGTAGGCACGTGTGGTTGTTCTTACAAGTTTACTTTTATGAAATATGTACAAAATATGATAAGTTACACCAAACAGCGAGAAAAATATTTCCTAGACGTAGTGTAATAACTTGATTTAAAGATGATCTTTGGCAATCTGATTTAATTGATATGCAGACACATGCTAGAAAGAATAATGGTTTTAAGTTCACTTTAATTGTTATTAATGTTGTTAATTTTAATTGTTATGTTAACACATATACGAAATATCTTTGATTTGAAGCACTGAAAAATAAAACCACAAAGGAATGATAAAAATACTAAAAAAAAATCAACCAAAATTATTACAAACAAATAATGGTACAGAGTTTTATAACAACGAATTTCAAAGTATTATGAAAAAATATAATATTAAACATTATTCAACATACAGTAGTATAAAAGATGGAATGGCTGAAAGAGTAATTAAAACTATAAAAAATAAAATTTACAAACATTTTACATAAACAGGTTCATGGAATTGGTACAATTCAATTTCAAAATTAGTATATGATTATAATAACACAAAACATTCGACAATAAAATGTACACCACACGAAGCTCGGACCAAGCCGATTACAATAAAAAGAAATATAAAACAATTTAATACATCAAAAAAATTTAAATTTAAAATTAATGATAAAGTAAGAATATCAAAGTATAAACATAATTTTAGTAAAGGCTATACACCAAATTGGACAACAGAAGTTTTCACTATTTCTAAAGTTTTAAATACAGATCCGATAACATATCAACTGAAAGATGGTTTAAATAATTTAATATTAGGACATTTTTATGTACAAGAATTAAAAAAAACATTTTTTCCCGATACCTTTCTCATTGAACGTGTTATAAAAAAACATAAAAACAAATTATATGTAAAATGGCTTGGTTTTGACAATAGTCATAATTCGTGGGTAAATGTAAACGACACTTTAAAATAGTTAATAAGTGAATTTGTAATTAAACGATATGTACCAATCAATACATATTGTTCAGATTTTATAAACTATATCATCATTACAATGTACGGTATTGATTCAATTAATTAATTTAATTTTTAATTAAATCGTAAACAATTTTAATACTGTATATACTTTATAATTGTATTAAATCTGATAGACGTTTAACCACTAAGCCTCTAGCAATTTTCCATTCCTTATACAACTCTACGTTACTGCAGTTATCATGTTTTAAAATGCAGCAACCTCTATCTAAATCAAAATACAGTTCCCTGAGTTTTTCAATATCGATTTCCATCAGATTTGGCATTTTAGGTTTGGATCGAATATTAGGTCTTACAGAAATGATAGGTCTGTGTATACTAAAAAAAAAAAAAAAAAAAATGTAATGTTATACAGCTTATGCCGAATAGTTAATTGTTTGAATATGAATTTTGAAATAAAATAAAAATTAATTAATGTTTTGTTATATTATTTGCGTTTTTTTATTTCATTATCTATATTTAATTTACATAGTATTAATTTTTTTACATATTCACTTTTTATTCAATTAAAAAATAAAAGACATGTACTATTTTTTTTAAAGATAGTGTCCATACGCAATAAATAATATTAATACCGTCATGCATAATAATTATTTTATCATCGTTAGCACTAAGAGCAACTTTATTTACAGATTTAGAATAAACAAAATGGTTTTTTGACTGAATAAAGTTCATAGTTTTACATATTTTTTGATCAGACAAATTATTGGTATAAGCATTTAATATTTCTAATTATTCGTTGAATTTTATGTGTTTATCAATTACATACTTTTTTACACCCTTAGCTTTTTTAACATCTTCGTTATTTGTTTTATACGCATAAAGTTTAGGACGTAAAGCAATGAATTCTAATAATATTTCAGATTTAATTTCATCTTTAAATTTCCCTGGTTGATTATTTCTAAGATCACTATAACAATAGTGATATTTAGGATAGTTTGATGTATCAAAGTAAGAAAGTAATTTATGTTTTACGTCATCGAAAAAGTTAAGAGTTCTAATTTCATAAACTAATGAATCAGTATCTGAATAGACAATATTAATTTTATTTCCATACATGTTTTTCATTATATCATAATGGAAATGATACATTATCGTTTTTGAAATATCTAATATTGCAAATCCAACATAAATTGGTTTATCAAACTTAATTTTTTCTTTATTCATGTGAATTGCCATTAAGTTTTTCGAATATATTGTCCTATCTTTAAATGTCGCTTTACACATTAAACGATGGGCTTTTTTATCGTTAGAAACTAGTGTCATTAACATCCGTTTTCTTACATTTTCCATACATTTTCCAAACACACTGTTAACCAATAACTTCCAAAATTGACGTTCAAACTCATTTCGTGACTTAACCATCATATTTGTACATAACTCGATATATGGTGCCATCCATTTCGATTGTAAAAAAACGAAGAATCCTATGAACTCTTTTTACTTTTAATCCATTGGCAATGGCTTGTTTTAAATTTCTATAATGAACTACATAATTCAATTTTGATTCTAATGTTGTTAGTAGTTTTTTTACTTTAGAATTTAGTGGACATTTATTTTCAGGTAAAAATGGAAAATCGTTATAATTTTCATTTAATCGTTTGGGGTTAATAACATCTACTTCTAAAATATAACCATATTCAACATCACCTTCAATTTGTGTTATATCTATAGATAAATCGTCAAACCATTCAAAATTTGTATAGGGTAAAACGGATAGCATAGACTTCCCATATAGATTTACACAGTCCAGGTAAGCTAACCACGTTACAGATTTATTCGAATCATAATCATAATCAAAAGCAGATCGAAATGATTTTTTCTTTCCAAATGATTCATATATAATGGGAAAACAGCATTTGTATCATCTAAACTAAACACATTAACTGACACATTATTTAAACGTTCAAATATTTATACATATTTTCAATTATTACAATATATGTTATTTATTTACACGTAAATATCATTTGTAAACTATTAAGTTATATAACTAATTCTCAAATAATTTTTGTATGTGACAATTCATTTTTTACTACCGCCTAATCGACGTCAACAAACTGAAAACATTGAAAATTGAAGATTTGTAGAATAATCTGATGGATAATATGAACGACAACATGTAAGTTAAATGTTTATGATTAATGAAATATGAAATAACATAATATTTAAAATCAAATTAATTCATATTATGTGAAATAAAATTGAATATTAAATATTTTAAAATAAAATAAAATTTTAATAATTTAGTTTTAT